CCTATACATCTCTGATGTATACATTTATTTATTTATATTTATTCCACCCGAACATTGGCTGTGTTGGCTTAAAGTGTCTGATGAATCGCCAGGGTCCACATTATTCAAAATAAATAAATGCAGGTAGGCAAACCAAGCTGGAACATACACTTCATCAGCTGATGCACCACTCTTCATAGAATTTTGAATCTTCTTTCTTTCGCGCATAAACTGTAAGCGAATGCTGTGCATTTTCGCTTCGATGATGTTTCGTGGTGTTCCCATTTCTTTCGCGAAGCTGTTTTTTTATTCCGATTTTTATAATCAGCATGTTGCCAGTTCCATAGACATTGATTTCCATGGTATAATTCAATCAATTTTAAAACACGATCGTTCGACCACTGTACATTCATTGCTGGTCCTGCGACACGTCCACACTGCACGCAAGCTATTGCAACACTCGAGACGTCCTTTGATGTTCCTTCGTGTTGCCGCCTCTCAACCGATAACCGGGCACATGTATCGGCACATGATATTTGTTGCGGAACACACTGCGACTTGTCGAGGCACATCAAGCAACTTTGTGCCCTATTGCGTATAGGCCTTAAGGCTTCTCAGAGCATGTTTAAGGGAATTCGATGATGGAATTTGTCACCGTTGTGAACTGTCTAGTAACTTACATAAATGTTCAAGAAGCATACTTATGTGGAGTGTTATACAGGATTGCTTGTGGTTTTGGTGAAGTGTACATTTGTTTTAATGACCCTGTATTTGGCTTCAATTTTATTAATTTACTACATGGTTTAAATACATTGGTAATGACTGTCCATTTAAGATTTACATATAGCAATTCCACTTCCTTAGTTTGATAATTATTGCAACAGTATTTTTTTATTTATGGCATTCAGTTTTCACCCACCTGTTCACAGTGGTCACTTTTATGATGTATTAATACATTCATATTCATGGAAAATTGTATTAGTAATATTCATACTTTATATGGTGACATTCAGAAACTATGAAATCACTACATCTCTGTTAGGGAAAGGCAGATACCACTTTCCTGGAGGACAATAATCAGAGAAGTTTGTTATTCATTTTGATAATTCAAATTAATTGTATATGCACTTGTTTACAACTAAGTTGAGTATGTGTGTTACAGTCTGCATTATATTTGTTCAAACTTGGTACTGAGACTCATTAAAATCACAGATAATCAGGGCTTGTTTAATAAAAACGTGTTTGCTGGTACTGTAATGTTTTTAAAATTTAAACCCATTTTGGTGATACAATTAAATTCATTTACAAGATTCATGCTCACATTTGCTTGGTAGAGACTGGTATGCTGTTTACTGTGTTCATAGGAGGCAGCAGAGATTCAAGAGTTTTCTCAATTTAATAGCTTCAGTATCCTCATAAGAATTGCCTTTCTGCCAATTAAAATCATTTACATTAATTGTGTATATGAGTCTCTCCATACATTAAATTTTTGTAAAATTGGATGTGATGCTGTTTTGTGCTTTCACAAAACTTGACAGGGTCGAGACAGTAGTTAATGATCTCTTTTTAATGGTATTTTTTCTTCAATAAAGGTACTCCTGAATTTCAAGTTTTTATATCCTTCACAATAGTGGAGTAAGTATTATTGCAAGAATGTATAAAATCAACGCAATATTAATGTTTAGTAGTTAAAGTAACTTCCTGATTTCAGGTTTCTTGATTCTAATATTTTCCCGCATTTAGCATTCATTTCTTATGATCCCAGGCACAGCTCCATTTAATGTGAAATACATTGATGGCTGTCTTCTGGGTTGTAGTACTGTGTAGTCTGGCAGAAGTTCACCAATGTTTCATCATCAGGGTGATGAGTTCACTATGATGATGGAGGCAGCAGGGAACTCTGAACTGTTGGTGAACTTCTTCCAGACTACACAGTGCTACAACCCAGAAGACAGCTGCCTTCAGACTCACCACTGGAAACCTCAAACCCAGCTATGTAATACATTGTTTTCCCCGGTTTAGTGTTTCTCGATTAAAGTATTACCCCAATTTGTAATCAAAGGAGTCGTCATTGTTTCATTTTGATACAACTCCCATTTAAGCTTTTTTGATTTAAGGTACAAAATGGTTGTTCCCTAGGTAAACCTTAAATGGGGGTTTTGTTGTTACTGTCTCTTCTAACTTTCACACAGTTCACTGAGGATTTACCTCTAGTGTGTAAAATAAAAGCATAACTTTAAGCAAATCATCTACTAGTTGTATGGACACAATTTAATATTCGCTTATGTGGTCCAAACCCCTGATTTGCAGGAAACTGAACCCAAACTTCGTTGGCCTTCTAAGAACAGCTTAAAATGTACATGACTTGAAACATGGATGTTTTAAAAAAAGATAAGCAGCTGTTGCTTGAAATATTTTGTATGTTGAATACTTAACAAAATACAAAGAAAATGTTGGTGACAATTTTGTTTTGCTATCTATATAACTGTTTGCTCTATTGTAATAGTTTTGTATCTGCAATAATGATGACCATCAAGGCCAGTGAAATTGAAAGTTGCAAGGAATGTATTTTGACAATATGTGTACTCTAAAATGGAGCAATTGAAAAGTGCTGTATTAGCTGATCGCCGAAAAGTGGGGCCCTACTGTATACCACATACATATCAGACAATGGATAATGTCTGACATAATATTGGTATAATGAATGAACCATTGTTATGGATCAGCCTGTGCCTTACTGGTTAATTACTCTTGGTTAGCAGTTGCCCACATTTTGAGACGATACCTTCCGTGTATGACTGAAGCTTTCACGGCAACTAAGAATAATGAATTCTTCTTGGGCTTCCAACAGTGTAAGGTTTTTTCTCCATTAAACCAACTTACAAGGCTGGTAGTCTGAGAAGAATTCATTAAACTTTCCTTATTAATTTTTATGTACACTGACTTGTACATTTTTCTTCAAAGCTGTTCTGCAATTCTAGCAAAATGATATAGAAAAACTATGGGAATCAATTTAGGCTGTAGCTCAGCTTTCCTTGTGATCAAAAATTGTTATAATGTGGAAAGGTTGAGAATTTCTTTTCTTTGAAAATGTGGTAGGAGTGATGAAGTACCTACTGAAAAAACAATTTTCTTAATGTCTGTGTATAAGCCAGCAGCTGAAAAATATACATTTTAGTTGTACAGAACAAATTATAAGTAGTCGCTTCTTAAAGAAACCTGGAAGAATTTTAACAAAAGGTGAGTTATTTATTAGAGGAACATCTGAATGATAATTTTTGAAGTAGGAAGAATTTATGTAGTTTGTATTAACTATATGGAACATGGTCCATGAAAAGCTGATAGTCATTCAGCCAGTGTGAAAATTACCTACCTTTTATGAAATATGAAAGTTCATTATGTGTTCACACAATCCCGCCACTGGACCGTTCAGAGCCAGTTAAATTCAGTCCACACTCTCACATCCTATATCATTAAGATAATTTTTAATATTATTACTAAGTCTCTTGGAGTCTTCTGATCAGAACTGAGTATTACTACCAATGAGTTTTCACTCTATGCCCTACCTCATCCCTGTTTTATTTATTGTACTGTAGGCATTGTACAAATATGACTTAACACACTCTGCTTAACTTTGTATGTATTGTAACAATTTACTTCCCACCTCTTTTTATGTTGAGTGTTGTTGTATTCTCTCTTTGATGTAGATTTTAAGCATGACTGAATAAGATCTATGCTCGCAGAAGTATAAGTTGACTAATTCTGAACTTATCAAAGTCGGAACTGTAATATGGCAGTTCTTGTAGTATAAAAATAAATAGAATGCTATAAGACTAACATTATCTTGCATTCAAATGTAATAATGAACATCACTGTTTCATAGATCATTAATAATAGAAATTGGTCCAAAGATCATTTTTTGGTGGAAAGGTATTATACTTTAATGTAGATGAAGTCATGAACATTTCCTTATTTACCATTTATGCTGTGTTAAAATATCAACAGAATTGGCACAATTTGGGTAATTCAGTTAACTATAGGGTATACACACACACATTACAATGGTAATGATTTTGTTTTTAAGACTGCTTGAATTCACATTTCCAAGAACCAAATATTGTAAGCTTGGTGTAATTAAAGTTTGTCCATGTATGCCTTCTGTTAATTTTCAGTGGTTCGGAAACTACATAACTCAATTCCACTGACAAATGTTCTTTTTTCTGTTAATGTTTGAAGTATGGAAGTTAAGATTTATCTTCTCTGTCAGGTGTGTTAAGAATTTCACTGATATTGTCAGTATTATTATTATTTATTTTGTGTAGAACTGCTTTTCAATGTATTTTGTAGAGTGAGTTTGAAACAGGCTCTCTCCAGACTTCGTGAGGCATTGCTTGTAGGAAGATGGCTGGTAGAAGTTCATCAGTATTTCAGAGGTTCTTGCTACCAGCCATGTCTGTTGCGTACTTAATCACACTGTTACAACAATTACCTTGGATCACATTGTTGCATGGTTGCACCTTTGACATCACTTGTGAGGTGGCATAAAGAAAACTTTTGGAATTTTAGTGTGCTCCAAAGAGAGCACCCTTCCAAACCAGTTTTTTCAGCAAATATGGTGGTATGTTTATTAACTATTCAATTAAAATTATGTAAACATTTAACATATGTGACAGGCAAACTATTTTTTTCATAATGCAGAATGATAGTTTTACAAAAATGTATGTGAAAGGCACAACACACATTGGCAGAGCACAGACTGAGAAACCCTGAAATAAATTATTTAATTATATGAGTTTGATTAGTATGCTTAGAGTGAGCAACTCAGTGTTTTGTTGAGAAAACAATGCTGAGAACAAAGTGATTGTTTTGCCGGCAACTAGTCTTTATCTCAATCATAATGATAAATGAGTCTTTATCAGAGTAGGTAGAGAGTAGGCAGGTTTTGCATGATCCACATTTGTTTTTCTGTCTTCAATCTATCACAGTGCCAATTTATCCATCATGCATCCACATGGACTGCTCTGGATGGAAACCCAGGCTTCTATTGTGAGACGACAACAACTTACAAACCGATCTATGACAGCCGAATGTTTATATAGGTAAAAAGTTATACAAAAAGTATAGTTCTGTTATAGATTTACAAACACATTTGCAAATATAAATGTGCTCCGAATCAAATGCCCTCGTATGATTGCGCATGAGCAATTAGTGACAGACATGTAGTGCTATCTATGTAGGATTAGTAGGCATATAATTTAGGTATTGCTAACCGTTGCTACAAGGTGGCATGTCGAACCATGAGAATAAAATATATTGGGATTGACATTGTTTAAAACTTAATTAAAGCAGACGTTTTACGAGTTTGAAGTAGTTGTTTGTACACAATATATATTGTTTAGTTCGAACATAAATCTGTCTACATAACACAGCTTCCATTTAGCCGTGACTATTCTATAGCTGGTCTTTGACGGCAAGCAATTTCGATGTATCAAGAAAGCCGTGGCGCAAATATAAATTTGAATTTTTGGAAATTTTTATCAACAACCTGGAAAATTCGTTCTCAACAATACAAATGTAATTTTCAGAATATAGGTACCTGCAGCGATTGGGGGTACGTTTTGTGAAAGAATGTATTATTTATTACTGAAGCGATTGCACTAATTGTTTTATAATACGAGTTCAATGACATTGACAGATTTTTGTGAAGTGCGTTGCTCAGAATATGCCATTAAATAAAAATGATAATAAGTATTAAATTTGTTATCATGTAAAAGTTTCGTGCTCGCTGAAGAACTTTTATAATTCTATGGCTGTAAAATTTGAAAACCTTGTCAAATTTACAGAGGTTAGAATAATATTGGAAGAACATATTGTTAACCTCTGTCACTTGAAAGAAAGGTAAATGGTAGGGTCTTGTGAAAGTTGCCTTGAACTGTTGGAATAATTGTAGCTAATCTGTCAATTTTATGTCTTATTAACAAAATGGCAGTTCCACTTCTGTTTCTTGTTTAACATATGTTAATGACCTGTTCTACATCTTTGGCTGAGGCCTGTGAAGGATCTATGGAATGTTAATAAATTATATTATGTTCTATTTAATGATTGTAAGGTATTTGTAAAATTACTGTAAATGAAGTATTTGAACTACTTAATAGAGAGGAAATCAACCAAATAAGATTAAACTTGGTGTCTTGCAGGTCTTTTGAACAATGGCCAGTCCTAGCCGAGAGAGAAGAGATAATCATAGTCCTGAGGAACAGCCTGATAGGTAAAGCGATTTTTCTTCTTTTCATTTCTTGAGGTACACTTACACTAGAGCACTTAATCGCATGACACAGCTTACGGTACCATTAACTCTCAGTATAAACCCATAATTTTTGTAGATGATACTAATACTATTATTTCACATCTATAAATTGACTGTTTCCATATTTACACGAATGATGTCTGCAAGTTTGAACAATAAATTTACATTACATTTTGACAAAACAAATGTCTTGAAATTTTGTATCGCCAACAAAAATCGATAATCTAAGTATGGGGTATGTAGATAAAGCAATTGAAGAAGTAGAAACAACTAAATTTGTTGGCCTACAAATGGACAATAACTTGCACTAGAAAACATATATTCAATATATTATCCGTAAAGTAAGCTCAGCACGTTTTGTTATGAGGACTGTCACATCATTCATGATAACAGAAACTTTGAAATTAGTCCAGTTTGCTGACTTCCATTTGAATGTGTCAAATTCACATGGAATTGTTTTCTGAGGAAACTCAGCATACAGCAAAAAAGTATCTTACATTCAAAATAAAATCATTAAAATAATGGCAACTACTAAAAGAAGAGCCTTATGTAGGGTACTGTTTGAGAAATGTAATATTCTTCCACTAGCCAGCAAGTTCTTGCTATCATTATTATTTATAGTAGACAACATAGAAAAAATGTCAAGCAAACTCAGATATCCACAATATAAATTCAAGATACAGATATAACCTTCATATGCCAAATGCTTACCTCAGTAAAATTAAAAAAAGGAGTGTACTATACTGGAATTAAGCTATTTAATAATCTCCCTCCCACTACAAAAGTCTGACTCACAATACAAGAAGTTGAAGCCAGCACTGAAAGAATATCTCCTATATCACTCCTTCTGCTCCAGAAGAATTTACCTCAACCAAGAATTCTCAGCTGTTATAAATACATTTAAACAATAGTGGGTATGCTTTCTCATATAATTTTTTTCTTTGTGGTAATAGTGTAGTTGACTGTAAATGACTGTCATGTCTTTGTAATTTATATTTGTATCAAGAACCAGGTATTCTTGCTATGACATGTTCTGCATCCTTGGCATGGTCCTATGATGGTTCTTTGGGATGTAAATAAATTCTTTTCTTTAAGCTCAGTCAATATAGTGACTGACTACAAACTAGATGGCCAAGGTTTTATCCCTGACAGGGGTAGAAGATTTTTCCTGTAGCCTTTGTGCCTAGACTGGCTCTGTGACCCACCCAGCCTCCTATCCAGTGGGTACTGGGGTCTCTTTTTCCTGGGGCTAAAGCGTGGCCAGCTGACCACTTACCATCTCTTTGAATTTATGCAAAACTTAAGTAATAATCACTGATTTAGGTAATCAGATAGTAAACTATTCTGTCAAATAAGTCATACACTTGCCACCCTCAGCTTGTTGCAAAAGGGAAGTAAGAAGACGCCAGCTGAGTTGCTGAATGGTCAGTGGAAATTGCTGATTCAATGCAAACATTTTAAATATTTTAGACCAATTGCAAAAGAATACTGTTTTAGTAAACAATTAAGGGACACCATTTACCTATTACATATAGCAAGGATCAGTAGAAATGATCCCTACCATCTTCAAGTTAAATGCTGCCACTACACTGAAGTTAGGAGGGAAGTAGAAATAGATTTGGCTTTATTGTTAAATGTCGAATATTAAAGGTGTAACAATTTTACAAAAACATTACTTTCTAAATCCTTATTTTGTTCTTAGTTAAAAATGGCAAATAAATATTTTTGTGTTCCATAATTATAAAATGTGGTCTGAAGTAACATTTGAAGTTAAGATTCTGCATTGTGATGTTTCAGTATTTGTGCACAAGATTCTGAGAATTAGGACGTTTCGGATATTGAATAGAAGCTCTGTATTGATTTGTTTTCTTCAACCAAAGAAAAAAAATTCCCATGCCGGGAATCGAACCCGGGCCTCCTGGGTGAAAGCCAGGTATCCTAGCCACTAGACCACATGGGATGAGATAAAGGAGGGAATTTAATTCATGGTTTACCATTTTTTGAGAAACCCTGATAATATTTTGTTTGCACAACATGAAGTATTAAATAATTAGTAAAGAATTATGAGACAGTGCAAAGTACTACATGCATAATCGTGTATATTATCTCAGAAGGCCCAAAAACCGTTAATAGGAAATGATCACTAAGCAACAAACCAAGGTACTAACAACGCATGTCTTATTGATAGAAGATTGCAAATAATCTTTTCGTCCCGCAAACAAAGGAGTGTGCGTGCGTGTGTTTATTTTTGTTCGCGCTCCCGTATGCAAAATTACTTTTGCAAATTGTTGGAATCCACGTGGAGTCTGACTTGTGTTTTAGAAGTTGGTGATTTTTGGATAATGAAGAAGGGGGCTTCGGAATAGAATGAAATGGACAGATACAGTACAGATTATTGCGACTTTCGCCCCTCTTACAAAGTAAAAACTTTGTGAATGTTTGATACATGTTCAACTTTGATTCGAATCCCGCGTTAAGCTGAAGTTCTGTCTTCAGTCTTATTGTATATCTCTAAGGTACTGGAATCGAAAGAGTACATATCATGTGAAAAGGGTACTCACAATCCGGTATGGTCTAGTGTTTAGGATACCTGGCTCTTACCCAGGAGGCTCGGGTTTGATTCCCGGTACCGGAAAGTTTATTTTCCGGTGTGTATTGTTGCTTGTTTATGTGAAATTTGCTTTGGTGTTTCGGCCCGTGTTTAATTTGGTGCCATCAAAACTTTATTTTCATTTTTGTATCGTGGCAAATTTGTATAATGCAATATTTTATCGTTCACTTCAGTTTTAAGAAACTATGCCCGAATCTGATTACTTTGGCTAAATCACGGATTCTGGTAGTGCGGAAGGTTCCATTAATTCGTGATGGTTGTTTGGCTACCTGTTTTGTTTTGGTGCGGAGTCTGTTATAATGTACGTAGCATTTATCCCCTTTCAATTTCAGTTTGTTTTGCTTAGATAGCATGCTATAATAGTGCTGTGTTAGCCTTTCCTTCGTATAATCAGCAGCGAGGCTTAATCAGAAACAGGCAGGCTCCGGCAGCATTGGGATGTCTTGTTATCATCCACAGCAGAATGCCCCTTTTCAGTCCTCTACTCTAAAAGATAAAGGCAGTTGCCAGATTGAGTAGCGTGAGGTTATGGTGCTCTCAAGTTATCTGTGGCAGTACGATTGCAGTTAGGAGGTATATCTTCGTGATTTTATTGTATGAAAGTGTATGAATGAGTATTACTTGTGACAGAAACGAAAGCATTTCCCTCTGTTCTGAAGAATATTCACTGATGCGGTGAAGACGAGAGGACATGAGCAGTTGTATAACTTGACGAACCAGATTATAGTGTTATTTAAGGAAGAGAAAAGTCGCCAGAATTTGTAATTTAACACCTTATTTAGAAAAATTCAAGGCAGTATCTTGCGGAAATTGTCAAATTCATCGCCACACAAATGGCGATTTCATAGTGTTAGTGATAATAAACTCATTTCTTCGGCATGTGAGAATCATGGAGGAAGTAGATTTACTACCACGAATATCAATGCGTTGTAATACCATAGTACCCGAGGCTAAGTTAATGTAGTACTCGTGAACGCCAGTGTGATGTGGTAGCGTGGCCGAGCGGTCTAAGGCGCTGGTTTAAGGCACCAGTCTCTTCGGGGGCGTGGGTTCGAATCCCACCGCTGCCAGCTTTTTTTTTTATTATTATTATTATATTTGTGTCAGTGAAATTACAGCAGTGGAAAATAAAGTAATAATAGTTTGGTTGCAAGGTAGAAACTGCATGTTTTTTTTATTAGTTTTGTGGAAAATACTTTAGATTTTTTATGGAAGCACACATGATTTTACAATGAAATTAGTTTAACTACTTTATTAAGAACATTCGGTAGGATATTGAAATTGAATTTATAATTTTATTTTGATGTGTTATTGTAGAATTTTTGTTTCTCAGTATTGTGCTGTGCATGTGGTTGAATATGTAATAGCATTAGAACAATTTTTGACTACAGTTTAATTTATATTGCTTGAAGTACATGTGTTTAAGAACAATTCTCATCCTCTGATTCTGTGTTGTGTTTTTTTTAAACTCTGTATATTAAATGACTTTCTGATGGTATGAAATTGCAGTCACTCTGATCATGGAATGGCCACTTCCAGGAATGGAGGAAGTGAATACAGTTTAACAAGTCTTGCAGGCCATGATGAATGTTTCTGTTCACTACATCATGCTGAGACCAGTCTTAACAGAATGGAAGCATATTTGGTCAATAATCAACTTACAGACGTTACTTTAATTGCAGGTATATCCTTATTGTTCATTATGCAGGTAACATCTAATAACCCTTGACTTTTAGAAGTGAAGAAAGTAAGGCAAGAATTACCAACTTGAAACAGAATTACATATAAATGTAAACAGTGTCAAGGTAGTGTAGTATTTTGCAATAACATGAGTCTGTGACTGTCCAGTTCATAAGTCATGGTGATGATTAGACTACATGATGCTACAACCCAGAGGACAGCCATCTCTATGCTATTTATATTTTACTTTCTCTTTATGTAAAGAACGTTTTATGGTAATAAACAATTTAACTTTCAGAGTTTTAATGTATGTGTGGGTTTACATACAAAAATAGTATGTTTTCAGAAGTGGCTTTCATGGTTTTGGTAACTTTTATTTATTTACAGAGAAGCTAGTCCTAAGTAGTAAGGCATAGGCTCAGTGTTAACTGGGATAGTATCTTAAAATATGCCACAATTATCTCCTAAATGTTTACCATCTTTCACTGTTATTTGGTGCTGTATAATCCCTGCAGTTACAACAACAGTGAATAGCTTAAGAATCAATCAACAGCGCATATGAAAATGTTAGTATGTATATTATGTTTTTCATAATTTTCTCATTATCTTATATTGCCTTTTACTGTCATTCTGTATCAATATATGTACTAACCTTTGTCTTATGGAAATAGAGGATATAAATCCATGTACTATAGGGCTGCTGGCAGACTTGACTCCAGGATTAACAGTTTAGCTATAAGCTGCTGTGACATACAGCCAGGTGGGCTTTGCATGATCAACGATGCATGATGTAAAGGTTAATAACATGCCTGCAGTCATTATATTTTTCTTTAGTTCTACTAGGGCTCATTTCAGCAGTAAATACTCGGTTATCTTCAATGATCTTTATCATCTCTTTAGCTACTTATTGCTCATTAAAATGTCTTTAATTTGTTTAATCAAAATTAATTACCAAGTGTGTTGGTGAAGAAAATGTCTTTAGTTTCTTCAAATATCTGTGTTAGATGTTTAACACCTTGAGAATTTATTTCTGATTATTTATAACTGTTAGTATAAAAGCTGACTCATAAAAATCCCTTATCCTACCTATTACTAATCTTTGGATACCATATTTACAGGTTCTCGTCATATTCCTGCACATCGTCTTGTCCTAAGTGCTGGTTCAGAATATTTTGCTGCTATGTTCACAAGCGATCTTCGTGAAGCAACACAAAGTGAGGTGGTTCTCCAAGATGTGGATGGGGATGCACTTTGGATGCTTGTCCATTATTGTTATACTGGTATAAATTTGTGTGCTTACTGTCATCAAATATGATATTATAAGGATTTCATGGTAGAATGCATAAAACCTATTACCCTATTCAACAGACTTCAGTCTGCGTAGGTGGGATTAAAGTTTAGCTCTTGACAGTAAGTGAAAATGCTAATATGGTGTGATCAAAAAATCATGAAGCCCATGTTCAAATATTTATTGATAGTTGCAATTCAATAGTTTTGATTAGATTATTAAATATACATTACTGCTGTGACTATACAAGAGCCCACACAGCCACTTCATATTGTAATTTTAACGGTGGTAGACACAAAAAAATTAACATTTGAAATGGCTATTCTGAAAGGGCTCAATGTTTCCTATTTCTTATATCATTGTTTATGTTTTGTACGGGTTGATAATTTCATTATTTAACAAACATAAATACATTTGCAAAAATGATACATATAGAAAGTAATGATGACTTGTGTGCTGTATCTTCATACAGGTCGCATTGAGCTGCGAGAGGATACAGTGGAAACTCTCTTGAGTACTGCCTGCCTTCTTCAGCTCACTGCAGTTGTGGATGCGTGTTGTTCATTCCTTATGAAGCAACTCCATCCTTCAAATTGTATTGGTATACGGCTTTTTGCTGACACTCAAGGCTGTATGGATCTGCTCAAAGTTGCACATAATTTTACAACTGTAAGGACTGTTGCTAAATATTCTCTTTCAAGTTTTGAGTGTAAGATATTTGGGTTACAATAATACTGGATTGAAAAGGTGCTGATTTTGGGTTACATCATTCTTTTTTGGCAAACACAAGTAATAACAGCAATTAAATAAAGTAAAAGCCCTTAAATATTATTTTTCTGTATAGGATTTGAGGTTTTCACAGCAGTGAGTCTGTAAATGGCTGTTTTCTGGGTTGCGCCATGTAGTCTGGTAGAAGTTTACTGACATTTTAGAGGTCCATGCTGCCCTGATGATGGAAGCAGCAAGGACGTCTGAAACATCGGCAAACATCTCCCAGGCTACATGGTGCAACAACCCAGAAGACAACAATCTTCAGAGTCACTGTCATGAGAACCTTAAATCCTGCAATGAGTTTATGTTTTAACTTCATGCATTTTACTGCAGTTGAAATATGACTCTTTCCAGTCATGTACTGCATGTACATTATTTTATATGGTACCCTCGTGTTACTTGTAGCAGGAAAGATAAAACACAAAAAATGCAATTTTATATATTTATCTGCCCGCTATTGAATCTTTTTAAATATGTTATTTATTTTAATTTCATCTCTCAGGAACATTTTATGGAGGTTATTCCAAACCAAGAGTTCCTCATGTTACCAGCAGATGAAGTTGCCAAGCTTTTGGCATCTGATGATCTCAATGTGCCTTCAGAAGAGGAAATATTTCATGTAAGTCAAAAGAGAGTTTGATGTTATGCAAGTAAAGTTTTGGTAAGAAAAAAGACTCTCTGACATTAGTGAAGAAGTGATGAGATAATTACAATACTTACTGAAGTACAGTGTGTCTGCTGACAAAGTTGTTGACAACTGTCAGTTTCCTGCTCTCAACAAGAATTGCATGACTGTACCAGGTGTTTCAAGATTTTCTCAATTTTTCATGTATCACTCCATAAACGCAATAAGTTTGACTTACCTTTGTGATATAAGACGTGCTGAAAATGATACTAGACAGACACATACTCTCCATACCATTATTTTCAGCTGGAAATGCCAATGCACCACAGTGTTTACGTACTTGATATGGTACACCTATTATAAAATCTAATTTTCATTGAACACAGTTTCTCCAAATTTTCTGCATCACTGAGTAGTTCACCAGTGTTCTTTCTGATCTTGATACATATTCTTGTATTGTAAACAACCTTTTACATATTATGAATTTCATTCATATTTGCTGCACATTGTAATTCTAACAAAGCCTCATGATTTTGTTCACAGTCACATCACTAACTCTTGCACTGTTTTTATCATCTTTCTTCTATCACATTTGTAATTAATGTGCACTCATTGCTTTTATAATCAGTTATGTTGTTATTATGTTGTTGGTAGAGCCATTTTTACCACATTCTTATGCAACATGACTACATTTTTGTTGTGTAAATAGATATATGTTGAAATATCATTTCTTTCCTTTCTACTTAAGTATAACATTTAAAGGAATTACCAGTTTTTCTTGGAGACTATGTAACAAAATCGTATTTCAGATGTGACTGTTTTTTACTGCCTGATTGCAATGTAACATAATGTGTTTTTCTCAGGCTTTAATGGTGTGGGTGAAAAGTGATGTTGCTTCTAGAAAAAAGGATGTTAGCCGACTGCTCAGTCTAGTCAAGCTTCCTCTTCTTATGCCGTCGGTAAGATAACATTGGTTCCCAAATCCACAATTAAAATACAAAAATATTTTACACATTCAATGTTAAAAAATAATTAAGACATCAGTACTCGCCCAGTGGGAAAGGTGGGCCTGAATATTTGAAACTAGGTGACTTCCTAGGTTGGGTAATTGATACAGTAACTCATAAGCCACTTTCAAGCTGACAGCAATTACAGTACTTTGATGTAATTTCTGTCATTGCTGGAAAAGTTTCTCACACGGGTATATTTTGCCAGAAAGGAATAAATAAAACATCAGTGGTTGGTTTTGAGAGTTTCACCTATTTGTTTTGGATACAAATTCAAAAATAAAGAAGGTGCAAAACTTCAAGATTAATGTATGTGATGTAACACAGTGAAGTTCCATTAGGGATTCCTGGGTTTTTGTAGAAAGATGACATATCTCTCACCACTTTGGTATGTGCCATCTAGTTTGGGAACCACTATTCTTATGATATGGGTTGTGACATTTTTATTCAGTTAATGGTTGTTGATGCCTTATATCTGGTTTTGAATCTTATATTTGTCAGCATGGAATACAAAGTATGTTTATTTTGAGAATTATGATGCTTGATATTTAATTTGTTAACAAGAAGTAAGTTTTTGAAGTTTGGTGTTTGAAAGTAATTAGATTTTCCTAGATACTCCTGAAATTTTCATGCTCTATTTTTGTATACATATTAATAAGTCGTTTGATTAATCTGTTTTTCTTGGCCCAGTTTATTGCTGATTACATAGAAACAAACCCTCTATTTCGAGAGGACCGTGTTTGTCAAGACCTTATTATGGAAGCCTTGAAGTATCATTTGCTCCCTGAACGCCGTCCAATGCTCCAGTCACCTCGCACTCGTCCAAGGAAGTCCACAGTGGGGGACTTATATGCTGTTGGGGGAATGGATGCAAACAAAGGTAGGTTAACATAATAAGTCTCAGGTTTTTCAAGCATGGAGTGCTTTAATTTGTGCATTAATTCATATGCATTGCTAAGCATATATTGTCTCCTAGATCAGGTATAATATATGTCTCTGCAGAAATGCTGTTTGTGTATGTGTGTTCTCTCTCTCCCTCCCCTCTCCCCACGCCCTCTTCCCAGGACTATGGGTCAGACTTTAACTCTAGGGTTTAATGATGTAATGATTTACTGTGTATATGCTGTGCTGAATGGACAATACATTTTTAATCATCAATGAGAACAGCTGGCCTGTATGCAAAAATTAAACCTAAGAATTTCCAAATAAGGAACAGGAGTTCTCATCTCTAGTCATGACACTCACTTATATATTTGTTATTATGTTCATATTCTCACTTTATAGTCAGGTTTTTTATTGCTACTTTACAACTAGTAATTATTTAGGTTGAAAGAATTAAATTGGTTTTGTACAGTGAATATATGGAGTATTTGGTGTTGGCACATTTTTAAATTTTTCTTTGTAACTTTGTCTTGTGGTTTCGCTGTCATAACATAATATGTTTTTTCAGTTTGCTGAATGATGAACTAACTGCCCTTCCTCTCATATCTTTATGGTTGAAGGCTGTCAAAATAATTGATGTTTTATATATTTAAGTAATTCTAAATGTAAACAAATAATGTGAGCTTTATTTGTTTGTTTTAATTGGATGTATCATTTAGATTGAGTTCTTCAAGAACTTAGGTCTGAAGTTCAAGCCTAATCACATTTTTCAATTTTCAATGAACTTTTAGCATCATTTGCTGAAAAATAACCTAAATATAAATGCTCTTCACATATCTTGCATATCATGGCTCAACTTTTGAAGAATTATTTATCACCTTTTTTTAAACAAGTGTATTTTTGAGCGTGTCTAGTAAACAAGGTGCATGGTCTTAATTTGTACATTTAATAATAAATGTTATTCAGAATCACATTTTGCTTGCAGAAAATAGTAGTAGTAAGAGGAATAAAGAATTCTGTTATTCTTTCAGGTGCAACGAGTATTGAGAAGTATGACCTAAGAGCTAATACATGGAATCATGTGGCCAGCATGAGTGGACGTCGTTTACAGTTTGGCGTAGCCGTGGTTGATGGACGCCTCTATGTTGTAGGAGGACGGGATGGTCTTAAAACTCTCAATACTGTGGAATGCTATGATATCAAAAGCAAGACATGGACCACTCTTCCACCAATGTCTACACACAGACATGGTCTAGGTAATTACTGCTTACATCTTCAAGTTGTTGTATAGAACAGTAGTGACAATACAGCATTGATTCAGGTTCTACCTTACACAACAAGTGCACTTACTAATTTTTTTCAGACTGTTGCAGAAATTTTTTATCTCACACATTTACTTACCTTCGCAGCTGATAAAGTCTCTCTCATGTGGGATCACATTACCAATTGTCCTTGCCCAACATCAAGGAAGTAAATCATGTTAAATGAACTTCTTCATACTTTTAGAGATGAGAGCCAGCTTTTCACACTTGCTCATTTCTGTTCTTTATTTTAATTCCTTCTTCACCTTACAGATGATGTACTGCTCTTTTTCACTCACTCCTTTCCATTCTTTAAGTATATTTCTTCTTACCCATTTGGATGATGTACTGCACGACAAGAACCCTGTCTGCAGCGAGTTGAAATGTTGTGTGTTAGAGTTTAATTTTTTATTTTGCAGGTGTTGGTATATTAGAAGGCCCTCTGTATGCTGTAGGTGGCCATGATGGTTGGAGTTATTTAAACACTGTTGAACGTTGGGATCCCCAGGCTCGACAGTGGAGCTACGTAGCACCCATGTCTACTCAGCGATCAACTGTAGGTGTAGCTGTACTCAATACCAAGTAAGTCAAGTTGTGTCTTCAAAGTATTTAAAATTACTGCTTTGTTCATTGTAGGGCACCACACACATTGCTGTTATATTTGTGAGGTCTGACCTGATGAGGTTTGCTAAGCATATAACACTTTAAAGACCCATCTGTAATGTCTGTCCAATGATTAAGATGCACAGCACTAACAATTGCAAGATTTGACCCCACTTTGAAAATTGAATATATTATAGAAAATATTCTTCTGCAGGAAACTTTGCATGTGTTTCACTTGTTTTATAGGTTGTATGCAGTAGGTGGACGTGATGGTAGTTCATGTCTTAGAACTGTGGAGTGTTATGATCCTCACACAAACAAATGGCTATCGTGTGCACCGATGGCTAGTCGGAGAGGTGGTGTAGGTGTTGGAGTGGTCAATGGTTATTTGTATGCATTAGGAGGCCATGATGCATCAGCTTCAAATCCTTCAGCACCACGTTTTGACACTGTTGAAAGGTTAGTCAATAACTAGCCATTGTGTCTGAGTTAAAAATGGAATCTCAGTTTATACAATATGAATGTCTATTTTACTGTTGTACTGGCCATGAGTTGGTCTCACATAATACTGACCATACTGACTTGTTCCTCCTCCTGCCCTACCCCATGGTGGCTTCCTGTAAATAATAAAACACTAATGAACTAGAGATCTTCTTGAGAAGTTAATAATCACTCATCCAGTCAATTTATTCCCCACTTTTTATAGACTCTAAAACTTCTTGACGATGGTGAAGAGTCAATTGAATAAAAATTTACTTGGATATTATCCATCGTCTAGTAAATATAAAACGTAAAACGACGTTTCGAAGATGGACTCTATCTCCGTCTTCAGTTTCTGAAGAGTCAATTGAATAAAAATTTCGTTGGATATTATCCATCGTCTAGTAAATATAAAACGTAAAACGACGTTTCGGAGATGGGTGAATAAAAATTTTCTTGGATATTATCCATCGTCTAGTAAATATAGAGCTAATCCCTATCTCCGGAGATAGGGATTAACTGTGTAGGAACCTGAAGACGGAGATAGAGTCCCATCTCCGAAACGTCGTTTTACGTTTTATATTTACTAGACGATGGATAATATCCAAGTAAATTTTTATTCAATTGACTTTTTATAGAATGTAAAGTCTATTATGGTATTTCTTGATTTGCCATATGGACCAGAAATTTGGACTTGGATCCAGAGATATGTAAGAAGATTTCACCACCGTGAAAACCTCATATCCTACTTCCTCCTCCACCTAGGTCTACTCCTCTCAAGAATATGAGAGAATGTGGAAGGAGTGGATACAAGAGAAATAGGACTAGTTGGAGGGAGAAAAGTTATGCAAAAGAGTGTGGATGAGGCTTTGTAATAAGATGACTCACTTTGGTGGAAACATCCATAAATGATGGCAGTCTTGAGTACATTTTGTATTTGTGCACTATATTCTTTCTGTTCAACTGTCAGTAAGTTTACAGCTGGTGTATGTATGATTTAATTTGTTTTATGTCTGAAAACAATCTTTAATAAGTGCCATTAATTATTATGATCAAATGTTCTTGCTGTAAACATATTCTGTAAAATGATGTTTGGTTTTCACAGATATGATCCAAAGACAGACACATGGACACAAGTTGCCTCTATGAGTATAGGAAGGGATGCCATTGGTGTATGCCTGCTTGGGGATCGCTTGATTGCTGTCGGAGGTTATGATGGTCAACACTATCTAAAATTGGTTGAAGCATATGACACTCAAAACAATGAATGGCAACAAGTGAGTTACAGTTGTCTTTAGTAAATACTTTTTAATGTGAATCTTGGCTCTGTGCTTTTCTTGTCAGTAATGAGTATAATTTACAACACTTTTAGAGCAGTGACAGGCTTCCCTAACAAAGAAAATAATCGTTTTAAACTACCTGTGCCAAAATGAAAATATCTGAGAACAGTAGTTCCAAGTAAAAGTAATTTATATGGGAAAATTAGCATCAGAATAAATTCAGGACACAAATTTTATTATCCTCTTCATTCATCTCTTTTCCTACCAAAAATCTAAAATTTAAAATGTATAAAAATTATAATATTACCCCTTGTTTTGTATAGCTGAGAGCTTTGTTTTGTATGTGAAGAAAGAACAGAAACTGAAATTAATTTAAAACTTATTGCGTAGACTGTTTGGACTCGGAGAACTGAACGGTCATGTAGAAGAAACACAAAACATGGCAAAAATGTGATATGGTAACCTCGTGAAATTGTAGGATAATACTGGTACAGTTTAACCTCATTGTGTGAAGAAATCATAAAGTTTCTTGGCAGTCATACTTGATATTCAGATTTTTCATGAAGGAGGTATATATTCTTATTCTTTTTATTTCTCCATTGTCTTGTCTTTGAATAGTGGTAACTACATCCAATACAAGCCACACAGCAACTTGTGTGGTCAGGATAGTTGCAATGATGCAGAAAGTCAGTAAATCACCCTTAATGTTGCTACCATCAGCACGTAGTCTGTGTGCACTTCTGAACAAAAGGCACTGATTACACACATAATGTATAAGGATAAACAGAATGTATACATTCCTTCTTCCCTATATAATACTTAAAACAGTGTAAGAAATAAAGAAGACAGGTAACAAACATAAAGAGTAAGATTGAACAAAACTTAGTGGTAAAAAGAATTTTTTTCTTAATAGGTTATACACTACATGTTAAAACACCCAAACTATACCAGCGTCACTGTTCTTATGCAAATGACAGTTGTGTTATATGGAAACTAAATATGAAGATTTCTGTCTTCTGGGTTGTTGCGGTGTATAGTCTGGTAGATGTTTACCAACGTTTCAGGTCATACTGCCTCCGTCATCGCCCAGATGACGGAGGCAGTATGACCTCTGAAACGTCTACCAGACTACACAGCGCAACAACCCAGAAGACAGAAATCTTCATACTCTCCGCTGTGATAACCTCAAATATTACGAAACTAAATATCATTGCTGTGTGCAAAAAAGGGTATAAATCTTGCATATTACCCATATTTTATTTCAGACTGAGTGTAGTTTTCTTCAAAACTAGGTTTAACCTAAAATGTTACCAGATTGCACACCCCTAACCTAAGATTTAGAACATGTTCTTGTCAATAAATATTTAACGGATGGGAAAATGTTAAAAAGTAGAATTTGTACTGTGTAATGTGATATTATACAGGATACTGCATACATGTAGGCACGATCATATGCCATATAATGTAGAGTAAGGAATACCCAGATTTAGACTATGTGCTTGCAGCTTTAAGCTTTTCTTTGAAAGTAGAATATCACTGAGAAGAGGGTGACTTTTTATTATGTGCTTATTTCTTCAGGTTGCTCCACTTAATACTGGAAGAGCTGGAGCATGTATTGTTGTCATCAAGAATCCACTGCCTTGATCTCAGTTCAAGATGAGTGATGCAGACATAGTAGGTTTTAAACTCACATTACTGTATGCTCATACTATATCAAGATAACTAAAAAGTTACTGTGTTTTATACCCTTCTTCCATTGGGAACATAAGTTTGATTAGCAGGATCTTTATTGCTTGTTTTATTTGAAATATTATTAAATACTGATAGCATACACACAGATAGTGTGTATATTAACTCTATCGTCTTCTTTAAAAAATGCTATCTTGCAACACGCCATATAGGCACTTGGGGCAGAGAGGAGGTATAGCTTCTATTCATTCTTAACCCTGGCACTAGATAAGGGGGAGTGGTCAGCATCTACAGTATTTAATTCTGCTTATTGAAGGTTATGTAAATCTGATGTGCACTGATTGTGTCATGTCAACCATCTTTTGGATTTTTTAAATTGGTTGGTTCATTACCAAATTACATGTAAATGTTTAGTACAGTCAAAATTTGTAACCATTCTAGTGGTTTCCAAACTCTTTGTGAAAATAAGTGAAGGACTGCGGTTCTTTTGAATATTATTTAATAGTGAAACCATCTACATTTAGTACTAAACTGTTGCATATGATTACACATTTATTCTTTCATTTTTAGACAAACAGCCGTGAATAAGCAGATTTTGCATAAATTCATGCACCATTATTCAGGCAGCTACTCTTCTCTGTAATTTAAGATACCAAGCACAGTATTACTTTCAGTACCATATTTTGAAACATTCCATTAAGTAGGACAACAGTTGCCTGAACAAGCAAACATGAACTGATGTCAAATTATGATCTTTGTTAAAATACTTTTGCTTATATGTACACATAGTGAAGCCTGTAATTATCATCGTGCTGTATACTGACTTTTGGTGGCTTGGAGAGCTCTTTCCAATGGTACTATTAATTATCATCTTGCTACTAAACTAAAAGAGATATGTGAAAATGGTTACAGTTAAACGTTTTATGTAAATAAGTAATTCTTAATTTAATTTTCAGAGAAATTGTACTTCAAAGGTATGATGATACTGTTCAAATCTTTAATCAAATGTTTAAGAACAGTTTTTAAATTTGATATATACTTTAATTGTCAGGACTTTTTCCATTATCTTTTCTTTAAATGCCCATGACGTTTCGGAGGCTCGTTCTGTCTCCATCTTCAGGCAAGAGGTACCTACTCTTTTGGGTCCTTTAGATGGAGCTAGTCTCTATCATTGGTTTTTAAAAAAAAACAATGGTAAAGTCCTGACAATGAATAATTTTAAGTGTAAACTACCGTCATCAGAACCCTTTAGAATTGAATTGATATATGTATACTCTTGGTAAGCACATTGATCATAAAATAGCATTGTCTGCACAAGATATTAAGGAAATAAAGCAATATGCATGCCCAAAGAATATTGATAATGTTTCAGAGGACATAGTGCCTCTAGTGTCAGGGCTGCAGTGAGGATTATCAGGAATTAGTTGATGTATATGGAGACAGGAGATGGATAAACTTATGGGAATTGGCAACTCAGAGCCATGGGATGAGATGGAGAGATGTAGCCATGTCGAAGCCAGTAGTGTATGGCCACTTTTTCCTGTTGGCCTGGATGTGGCTTTATCTCCCTTCCTCATCCCACCAAAAAGCAGGTAAGCATTAATAATGAATTGCTATGAAAGCTTAAAATTAATTAATGTACTTGCACTGTTGATGGTTTAAATATGGTGGGTTTCAAATAACTTTCATTTTTCTGTATTTTGCATAATGGTTGATGAATGTGTATGGATATCCATGTGTAAGTATGGTAATTAATGATGCAATAACATTATAAATGTGTTTTTTTTTCATTTTCATTCTCCAGCTAATTTTAGATCTATGTTGTTGAAATACAGTGTTAACATGACTATTTATATTGCATTTTGTATATTATAGTGCTGTACTCGATCAATAATGTTTTTGTAAACATTTTTATAATATATCCTGTAGGTGTTAAAAGTTCACTAAACATTAAATATTTTTCCATCTGGAAATGAGAAAGTTAAAAAAACAATAAAATAAAGATAGGCATAGATTCAAAATGGTGGAAATGATACAAACTTTTATATTTTTATATGTTATTTGTTTCAGCAAAAGTATAAATGTTGGTTTCAAAGAAAACATTAATAATCGAAAAGAGTGTCCCTTGTATTGGTGTGGAGCTGATACCTATATCAAGATTAGAGAAACTGCCATTATGTGCTCAAATACAAAGTATTCTGTAATTTTAAATTTATCTAATAATATGTATACGCACCCCAATTAATGTTCAAATTTAAAGACACAATTCAGTATATATTCTGAATTATGTTTACTTCCAGAAATTTTAGCCTTCTAATATACAGTATATGTCTGCTTATAGAATAATAGAATAGATAACACTTATATATATGTAGACATTCCGACATCAGACATTCACATGTGAAACTACTATTGTTTATACTTTGCTTTATCATGTAACATACAATATACACTATATTGTGGTTAGCATGTGATTAACTGTAGTGTCTCACTTATAAAGGCACACTACATGACTATACAATCTTATTTAAATGCCAAAAAGGATAATACTATCTGGAAAAGCTCACTAAGTCAGACTCGTATAGTAGCTTTCTGACTTTTCATTTTGCCTATGAATCAGGCTTGTTATGAACTTCATATTGTCTTTAGACAGTAACAGTAGGAATGTACCATTCTTGAAAGCACTTGATATATTGAACTACTTATCTTAGTAGACTGCTGAATGCATTTTGATTCAGTAAAAACATCTCATTTATGATGTTATATTTGTTTTAATGTGTGCAAACTGTAATATTTTATATCCGCCTTAAGAAATAAAGAAAAATTTAACTTGAGCAATCAGAATTACATACTTAAAAGTATGAGAGATGTTTAAATTAATTGACCTGTGATACACTCTGCATAGTTATTTGTGTACAATTTATAAAAGCCTCAGTGGTTATCTGTAACTCTTGAGGATATGAAGCCATTCCCATGTAGTAGCAGATTAGCTATCTCATTAAATTGTTTCAAAGCATTCTGAACAAGAAGATGGTTGTTTTCTGGGTTGTTGCACTGTATAGATGATGCTGGAGGCAGCAGGAACCTCTGAAATATCAGTAAATCTCTATCAGACTACATGGCAAAACAGTCTTCATATTTGCTGCCATGTTGACCTCAAATCTCACAGTTCAGGACAAATTATGGGTTATAGTTTGATTTATTTTATCTTGTTGATGAAGTTATTCTGCTACTTTTATGTGCACTTGTGGTCTTAATAAGTTTTTTAAGGTGAAATGGAAGGTTGCCCCTGATGGTTAACTAAATACCAAGCCAGGAAAATGTATGAAGGAATGAAGGTATAGCACCACCTGTTCCTGACCTTAGCATTAGAAGGATTTGAATGGTGAGATTCATGCCCTGGTTCTTTACCTCTGAGGAAGGAAGCTTGGTACTCTTCTTCTTCTATGACTCTCTGGTCTGTATGCGGTCCATGGCCTCCTCAATTCTCCTCTTCCATTCGGTCCTCTGTTAGGTCCGTCTGTCAGAAGCTTTGATCGAGGTTTCAAAACATCTTCCTTTTTACGGTGCAAGGTTGTTAGCCTTGCGACCAACCCCCAACCTGGAGGACCAGGGTACCTGTTTTAGTCTGACCTCTCCCTAGGGAGGCCCTACCAGTAGCTCTTGGGGTCACTGAGGTACTCAAGCCCCACCACCACGACAAGGTGCTTGGTACTCACTGGATTCAATAGTGGGTTGGTCCAAGACTGAGTCTGGATGTTATGGTGGGGAAGAAGGAAAAAATACTAATCAGAAGCTTTCATATTGATTAACATTAATAGTCTTCTTGGGTTATCAGCCTTGTCTTATGGTTATGACTTACTGACATTTTAGGGACCATCTCTGTTTCCGTCATCAGGGTTATGATGTAACTCTGTTTCCAGACCATCCCACACATATGCCTGCCCAGTGCCCATGTTCAAAGCTGAGTGGGAGTCAGTGGGTCAGTAGCGGACTGGTGGGCAGAATCAGGTGCTATCTTGGCTTGACCTTGCTTCTGGATTGGTGTTTCTCTGCGTTGCTTGAACACTTGAGGACTGACTGAGAATGAAGCCTCTGTCTTAGTAACCTTTCTTGTCACATGGTCTTATCCAAGATAGATGTGCTACTGAAATCAATGTTGTGTTGTCTTTCAAGTCTATGCTCTGCTGTGGTGGACATCTCTGGTTGGCCCTGACATATGTATCTTATGTGTTCATTACTTCTGGTTTTGATGAAACATAAGTTACATGGCTCTGCCAGTATTTGAACCCTTTGATGATACTTCGTGTCCTAATAGTCCCTGTTTTTTTTATTTGTTTCATATTTGCCTTTATTTATCTTATCATGTAAAATTGTTTGAAGACTTGGTATAGTTGTTTGCAGATGATAATTTCTTCACATGATACCAATATATAGCCTTCTACTTTCCTTTAAAAGCAAAAAGAGACTGATGATGTTATGTTTGTGTGTGTGTGTGTGTGTGTGTCCTACCAAATAACCAATTTTCATGAAAATTGCAAGAATACCATGCCACACCTTCAACTTTTAATTTTAGTTTATCAATAAACAAACATGAAGGCTACCTAGCACTTTCCAAGTGGATACAATAGCAGCATAATCTAATGTGGGACACTGAAATTGATGTTTGATAAATATGAAGCTTCTGTTGAGGTAATTTTTTTGCGGAATAGAAATAATAGCATGATGACCTCTGCAAGCCCAATCCATATTTAGTGTTGGCCATAATTAATGTACAATCGCTAATAGACAAGTGCAATTTATGTAGGGATGGAAGAGCTGTCACATATGCGTAATTCCGGCACTAGAGCAGACGGACATAAGGGCGAAACAAACCAAATAGCGTATTGCAAATATATTTTTAAAAAACGAAAAACAAACCGATGTTTTAGGTACCACGTAACTAGGTGTCTCTGGCTGCAAGATCAGCCCCTCCCCCTCTAAGATGTTGGTAATCCGTGACTACACTTCCGAAACAGTGGAGGTGGAAATAGTGTAGCGGCAGCTGGGTGGGTGCTTTTGGCTCTGGGAGCTACGTTTGAGAATTTGGCGAGTTGCCTGGTTTGGGTGTGTTGAGTAGCTTTAGGGTCGCGGTTACGACTGGCTGTAGTGTTGGAGAAGGAAGAAAATAACACCGAAATTTTAACGAAGTGATGGGGAAGAACGAAGAATTGCCTTGGGATCTGTTTGATCGATGTCTTCTTCCCGTCATATTTTCCCATGCTGCCGCAGTTATTCTTTCAACAATCCTCAACACTCTTTACATCTCCCAAATCTCAACGTTTACACTTTTCCTCTGGTTCGTCATATCCAGTCTCGGTGCAGTCTTCTTCTATCATAACCTCAAGGTAAACATCTTCAAATATGTGGATATTTTCGTAGTTGTGAGTGACAGTAGTGATTGTGGTGATGGCGGTGATGACAGTGGTAGTGGTAGATCAAAGTTTAGTTAACAGAACGTCATGAAGCCTTATAGGGTGCGTAGAGATAAGGCTCCACGTATTTTAGATCTCGACAATAAATAGCGGTGAATGGTTAGCCTCACGCTGAGGCCCCTATGCCTCCCCAGAAGGCTGGGCGGACCCCAAAGCTGTTCTGGAGAATCTGACAAAAATTGTCTACCAGGAATCGACCCTCTGTCGTCCAGCCCGAAGACAGTCACTATGATTCTGAATATGCGCTGTACTTGTTTATAAAATATATTTCACTAAAATTGTTTTTTGTTATTTGTTTTTTTTGTCATCAGTCTTTCGACTGGTTTGATGTGGTCCTCCATTTTCGCCTATCTTGCGCCAATCTCTTCATTTCCACATATTTTTTGCAGCAATAAAAACATGTTAAAACGGGCGGTATGCGATTAATATTAATGAACCGTAATTAATATACTCTGCTGTTTGTCTTTGGAATTTCCAACCAGTGAAAGAATTTCCAGGGTATAGAACGCTCTTCTTTTTGCGTGTTGTAGGTCAAACTTAAAATATTGTTGTCCTTAGGCACAGTGTCTTGTGGACTTTAAATAATCTGCTTTGCTCTCATAGATTTATTTTCATACTTTTGTACTTTCCTTATTAAGGCGGCTATATTGTGATCATGATTCATGAACAGAGTAGATGTAAGGTAATATGACAGTAGGTCTGACCTATTTTAAGCAACTGTACTCTCATCAATCTGTAGGAAAAGACGAGGAACCCCGAGTCAGGTGTCCGGGATACAGACGACAATCCCATGGATGATTGAGGTTACTTAACCGTGTAAGATATGAGATTATAAATTGTGATGACTGTCTTCTGGGTTGTAGTACCGTGTAGTCTGGCGCTTTGTACTTAATAACCATGTTTCAGTTACGGTGGTTTTATATATATGTTAAAAGACAAAAGGGCTAAACCCCTAAACATAATTTTTGTGAGAAGAGCAGACGATCTTGGTTGTTAATGTAGTATTGCATTTAACTCGGTATTTCCTTATATGATTGAATGGAAAGTATTGGGCTTTCGTGACTTGGTTTTCATTTTATCTATTTCATGGTAATTTCGCGGTGTAGGCTGACGAATCTCATTTTGACAAATTATTTACATGACATCTTTTTCCGTAACACCACAGGCATGGTCTCGAATGTGGTGGACAGGTAAATGGTCACGAATGGGGAGTTGATTATGAATTGTAAGAACTTACAAACTATCCAGATTTTCACAAAAAACAAGAGTAGCCTGTAGCCCAATACGGATATGACCCGAATACAAGATCGGTACGCTAGCCTGCCTGAACTCTCATAATGGACATAAAAGGAAACCGCTGTTTTTATTTAATAGAACAGAATTTATTTACATTCCGTAGATCCTTCATAGATCCAAGTCAAGGACGTAGAAAATGTCATAGTACAAATACGATACTTGTTTCTAATAAAAATATAAATGACGTGATTATGACTAATTTATAGTCAAGTACATTATTACCGCAAGAATATTTACACAAGAAAGCATAACCACTATTCTTTAAATGTATTAATATTAACTGAGAAGTTTTAGTTGAGGTAAATTCTAGAATGGAGTATAATTTTGATGCTGGCTTAAACAACTTAAGGAAGAAGATGGTGGGAAAGACATGTAAAGAAATGATCGTGGACTGTTTTAATAAGCTATATTATCGTAGCACTTGACTGTTTGACACAAGTTACGGAAAGCGTCATTCAATTTAACAGATCGCGATTTAATTGGGAGGGTCTCTAGTACAAAAACAAGAGTTGCAGCTATTAATCCGCGGCTGTGAACTGTTTAATATTTGATTGATGGCGATTAATAACCATCTAACACGGCTGATAGCCCGAGCAGACTTTATTAATGTTTAATATTTCTTTGGAAAAATTATAGGAAATAAGTGGCTGGATAGTTTTCGTAAACGACCCTAATATTAAACTTAATTAAAACCATTTTAGCCTTGTTCCTGAAAGCTAGGTACAGTATTTTTGCTTTTAAAACTGTTTTGTTGCCTCTTGTTTTTCTTTAATATGAAACGTTGTCTCTGACATTGAGGAAAAACAGATAGGCGTGGCGGACGGTAAAGTTTTGAGAGGAAAGATTGGGCGTAATAGATGTAACAGGGAAACTGAGAAAATGACTTTGTGAAACATGGTGGCTAAGAGAAAGACTCCCGTCCCTTCTGGGAAATAGAATCCTGTTCGTCTTAACACGTACCCATTTACTCCACCGACTGAGCTATCCCTCCCATAAACAAAAAAGCACCACATTCGCGTTCTAATTTAAGGACCACACTTCAAACACTACAAAAAGTTAACTCTGAACACACGGAATAAAGTTAGGGGACACTAATTTTAGTTTTCGCAAGCCGAGTCCGTTTGAGTTGCCAAATTATCGCGACTACTGGCATATTTCCCTATTAATAGCATGAAGTCGTATAGACTGACAAACATATAGGGCCCATGTTTGATTCTAAATAAACACAGGTGAATACATTCAAGTCAATTGCCATTGTTTACAGATATGAATCTTTTCACAGTACAAACTATTCAACCGTGACGTTTTCATAGAGATCGGTGACCTGACGATATTTGAACAGATGACAGCCTTTTGTATTAGGAAGTGCCTGTTGCGTACACCGGTTAGGTTAGGTTAGGTTAGGTTAATGAGAAATAAACAGCCGTGTTTTATCACAAAATATAAAATTCATTGCGAATCGCGTCACCTTTAGACTTCAAATATAATTTTTATTGCGTATTCATCAAAATGTGTATGCACTTCTATATCTTATATTACATTTAAGTTTATTAGTTTCGTGTGTTATTGGTGAACTGTGGGCATGTAACAGTGGATCCGTTAGGAGTATCTCAGTCAGTACTACGAACTGGACGACCGGGGTTCGATCCCCGGCCGGGATAGAACATTTTTCCTCTAGCCTCTGCGTCCAGACCGACTCTGGGGCCTACCCAGCCTCCTGTCCAATGGGTACCGGGGTCCCTTCTTAGGGATAGAGTGCGGCCGGAGCGTGACGCTTACAACTCACCCGTTATCTAGTGCGGAGGTTAAGAATGAGCACGAGGTTCATCACCTCTGCGCCCAAGCGCCTTTATAGCGTACAGTGTGACAGCTTCACTTACACCTTTTTAATAGTGAATCCGTTATGGCAACTTATAGCATCTAATCAGATGATGAATTTATTCCGTCCCATTTTCGATGTTTTCTTCGAGCTACTGTCAAACAAATTTATGACATTTATCGGAATATGTTGTTTGGTCGTGTTTTAGTTCTGACGGTTAGACGTTAGCTTCTTACCTCGGAAACCCCGGTTCAGTTCTAGAACAACCCATGTGGGATTTTCAGTGGACAAATTAAAACTGGAATGGGTTTTTCTATAAGACTTCTCTCTTCCCAGTAAATCAGTTCACCAATGCGTCATACCACAGGCCCTACCAGCCAATATATTATCGGCACTTTGTGTTTCACCCCTTATCTAGTACTTCCTTGGACTCGGAAAAATAGGTTTTTTTCTTCGTACAAACCGATCTGCTTCGATGACGTGTAAGAGAAATTGTCGATTTCGCTAGGCACAGGTAAAGAACAGAAATTCAGTTTTTAATAACAATATAATCGTGTGCCCATAGTATCATCTTCAAGTAACAGTTTACATCTCATGCATCCAGCAGTGGAGATAAATTATAAGTAATATTTTAACCATAATTTCACATCGTCTGCTTTATTTTATTTCGGAACTCAGAACAAAATAGCAAAACTTGCTTGGATATTGTAACGCTGTACCTGGCAGCATAAAGAAGATGCTCGTATCCTAATTTAAATAATTGACGATGATTATTATCCAAATATCATTGTAATTAATGAATAGAATGATATTATTTGAGATCAGTTGCTGTTGGACTATTGTATACTAGAATCTGTAGCTGTTACGTATGCGAAGTGGATGGGTCATGCCTCTGGACTGATGTTTCTTGTTTCTTTAAAATAAGCATCCAGAATTAGAGGCACTCCTCAAATATCAATCTGTAGCATGATGTATACAACCTATTTTAACGACATAAAAGCTTAGGAAGATGTGTTACAGTTACCTAAAATAACGTTGTTTCGTTTTTCAGATTCATTGTGCTTTCCCGGCCGTCCGATAGTTTATTCAGACGCATTCATTAGGTACATTCTGCACATAGGCCTACCTACACGGGAGTCTTGCATCTGTGATGATTTGAATGCATTTCCATTGGAAAAGTTAAAGCTGCCCCACTATGCGCCATGTAAACCATATATTTTCCTAGATAACTCCGTGATAGGATGTTGGAAATACAACTTCTCGGGGAATCTAACTTTTGCAGAATGTGGTGACCTTTGAATCTTCAGGGTTTCTTCTGCCACCTATGAATGTCATTTCCACAGATATAGACAGATTGAGGAGGCATAGTCCCTGGTAACAGTTGATTTGTCTGACAACTGAATTCGGAGTATTTTCACTATATGCAGTAGTGAATCAGTAATACTGCCACTAGCGCCACATGTTCCAACTTCTGATATATAATTAAAATATTTGATGGAACTCTAAACATATCCATAATCATAATTTTAATTCTAACTCTGTCAAATGAGTCCAATAGATTAGGTTTTACCTCAGGATGTATACAAAGTCCAGTGTTCAAAACGGTGTTTTAATTAAAATTTAAATGACGGCTAATGCTCTAGAAGTTTATTATACTTAAATTACAAATCAGTACTATCTCTCTGAAATATACCCAAAACAGTTCTAGGTATAAAAACTGTTGCTGAAACTTAGTACCTGTCGTTTTCCTAACTTTGTAACACGTTTTTTAAAATTCTTGTATTTTTAAAAGAATATTGTCAGTGTCAACTTACTGCTTGTTACCATTACATAGTTTCATAATATAATCACAGTTTAATTATATAATTTATTAAAAGAAATGCTTTCGAAACTGATGTTTTCGTTTTCTTTGTTGTTTGCATTTGAAGCTGCTTAACATAATTTTGAGGTTATAATCTAGTTAAAATATTTTTCTGTTAATATTTCCACTTCAGTAGTGCAAAAGCTTTCCACATGAAATGTACCTTTTTTATTACTGTACCATTCTGTAAGAATCTTGTATCCCATGCCTTTTTCCGTTAAACTTTGTAGCTTCCTGTTTACTGAAAATAAGCCTAAAACATTGTATATCCCATGTATTGAAAGGAATTTAACCTAACAATCTTATTAATTATGAAAAACCATACAACCTAAAGTAAGTTATTAATTTTTCAATAAAAATATGTCTTATTATCTTTATGTATGAAGCTCTGAAAACCACATCAAATTCAGTGCTTTAAATTCCTGGCTGTTTTGTTATATTGAAGGTAAGAATATTTTTTCTTGAACATACAGGTAACTGCAGCTGGTAAAACTATCCTAATAACTGATTGTACCTCAAGAATAGGGTATACGACTGCTCGCCAGTTGGATGATTTGGTAAGTTTGTCATATGGTCGTGTAACCAATAAATTGAGTATATTATGTTGGTTTCGGTCTTAGGTAAGATAAGATAAGATTAGGTTGTGTTATATTTCTTAACTTTGCTAGTTTGTGGATGAGTTTCTGATTTTCCAACATTTTCTTCACCCTGATTTCATTTCCAAATAACTGTGAGTAGTAGAATCATCAGTCTCCCATTAATACACTTTTGGTAGTTTATCTACATCTAACAACTTTAAATCAATATTTTCTGCATATGAGAAATTTACTTCATTGTACATCTCAAAATTGCAAGTATGCCTTGATTTTGCCTTATAATACATGTTAAATTTATTTCATGAATACTTCACTAAAATTTGTAGCAGTTTTGTCAATAACAGTACCCATTTTCTCTAGGGCATGGTATTCAAGCTTTTTTGTTCACGTACCCCCAGATATAATTTCTCTTCAACTTTGTACCCCCAAAGTTGTTGGTGTATAATTCAAGTTATACATAGTATATAATCTACATCTGAAATAAATTAAATAAATTACATTACTGATTATTCAGTGTTTATCATAAAATAATATAATTTTTTTTAAATTTCACGTACCCCCTAAGATGTCTTCGCGTACCCCTGGGGTATGCGTACCTCAGGTTGAATACCACTGCTCTAGGGGTCATAACTTTGTTACCCCAGGAAACACATTACTGTTGATGTGGAATATTGTTTGTATTGTGTATAACCCAATCCATGGACATTTCAAGGGTGTCAGGTATCAGGTTTGAGAAACAGACCTCTTGAGAAGTGTCTCCTTAAAAGACCAAAAAGGAGATGGGAGGATACTAATAAGTAAATCTCAGGAAGATGGACTTTTTAGGATGAAAGATGGCGTGATTTATAATGCTAGGAACTGGAATATATAGTTTTGAATTGCCATATTATGCTGTCACAATCTTAGTTTAGATGAACAGAGTGGTTCAACAATTTCATATTTAAGTTTTATTCCTGAATTTATTCAGTTTTGAA